TGCCATTAATTAAGACATGGTTGAGCCCATGACAGAGGGAACAAAGGGGAAGTCACAGTCTACAGCCTTCTGTTATCTGAGCAAGATGCTATTTTATGGCATAAAGTCCTTCCACAAGCCCTTCTCCTTGACTTAGGGCCATTCTGAGCTCCAGGAGCTATTCACTGTGGAAGTGAACTCTCAAACTGTCCTTCCTACTGACTTGTCTCACCCAGCTGAGACAGGAAAAGAAAGGGAAGAGCTGGGGAGAAGAGAGGGGAAAAAGCAGGGCCTTGCTCACCAGTGGATGCTTCAACACTATCATGCTCTTCCCCTTCCATTTGGTCTCAAACATCTCTGCAAAGTAGGCGCTGCGAGCGCTGAGGATGCAGCGGTGGGCGCAGAAGGATTTGCCATGAACAATGAAAACGATGTCGCTCTGGTAACCCTGCTCCAGCAGCCTGTGAGGAACACAGAGAGGGGAATGAGAAAGGAGCACGGAGTAAAAGCATGTGGGGGTCATGGTGCAATGAGGTCTGAATCAACACATACTTCTTGGCACTGCAGTCTCCCTCTGCCCAGTTAGAGGCCAGTACAAGGATGGGTACCACACATAAACTGGAGTCTCTCACTTCCTCCAATGACTCCAGTTTTGTCAGTGCAAGAGGGAGACTGGAGAATGAAACCTGCCTCAGGTAACACCAGAACACAGGGCACACTTCAAAGCAGAACTACTTGCCCCCAAACACAACTCCGAAGGTTAATTCTGCTTTTCAATTGGCAGCTGATAAGAAGCCCTGCAGAAGCCCACACTCTGAAAAAGGACTACCCCACTACAAAGCAAGATGCAACTTCCCTGCACTGCCAGTGTGCACGTTTTAACCACACAGCAAATAGGAGAGGACACGAAGTCATCCACCCTCAGAAGGCAGGATGTTACACGCACGAAATGCTGGCTATTACCACATCAGAGATGAAGCTTTGCTCATGTTCGCATGCTCATCCCCTCTTCTTTAAAAGGGAAAAAAAAAAGATTGCTGCTTCTAGAGCTAAGGAAGGATGGCAGAATGTGTTGCACATAGAGCTGCCCCATGTGCTTACCGCTGCAGGAAGACATCATAGTAGTCCCTCTTCATGCACTTTGCTGTGATCTGTTTGTACTCCTTCAGCAGGCGGCGGATGGCATCGCTCAAAGCTCCATAGAGGCAACGCTCCCCATCAAAGGTGTTGGCTTCACATTTCGCTCCTGCAAAATGATCACAGGAACATGCCAGCAGTGCTCAATCAAGAGTCCCTGAATGGTCACTAAATGAGTTGAAAAGCCCTTGTGTTTCCCCATTAAGTCCTGTTTACAAAGCAAGGCTGCAGGAAGAGTACAAGAAGGTTTTACACAGACAGCTCCTCAGATGAAGCACGGTTCTTACATCAGCAAACTCCCAACAGCAACACCCCCTCACAAAACATCAGCTGTGACTTCAGAAAGTTCACACTGCCTCGATTCACCACAGAAAGTGTCCTTGTAGCAAAATTCAAGCAGCAAATGGCCTGCAAAAGGGACCATGAATGTGTGTCCAGAGCTCCCACTGCAGCCTGAGATCACTTATCAGATGGTTCATTGTAACAGAAGTTTCCACGAGGCACAGCTAGAGGGATACACAATCCCCATGGAGAGAGATATTGCACCCATAATCAGGGTGCTTCTGCTCACCATTGGCCAGTAGATAGCGTACAAGCTCCTCGTGTCCACAGAGGCAAGCGTAATACCTGACAACAAGAAGAGAAAGAAAATCAGCGATACAATAAGAAGCCAAATTCAGTGTTCAGGCACACCACAGCACGCAGAGCTCAGAACTGAGCATCCCTCATAGAAGATAACTCCTCACAGGAGTGACAAATTGCCACCTAATAGCATAGACCCCAGCAGGACACTAAGCAGGATCTGTTCCGAGCACTCCCTGTCACTGCTGTCCTGCAAGGAGATCTCAAGGTTCCAATCTGGGCTCAGCATCTTCTGTTGCACCACCAGCTGCCAAATCCATCCTTGTTTTAACAGAGTTCATTCCATGGGCGCTCAGCAATTCCACTGAATTCCCAAAACCACTCCTTGCTCCTTCTGTTGTCAGTGTGAACGCTGCAGGCTATGACAGCAAGGGAAGAGCTATCACAGCTACGAGATGTACAGCTATGAGATGTACACCCCTCAAAGTCCTAGAAGCTTTGTTTCCTCTTTCACAACCTCAGCCTTTCATTCTTCTCTCCCACAAGGACCTCAAGCTGTCCTGCAAACTAGGAGAATCCTGTAATGCACATTGCAGCAGGCAAATGTTACTCTACCTTTACACTGGGAAGCTATTCCATACTCTAAATATGTCACAGGTATCTTTGGAGTTGGTATGTAGGGAGACAAAAAGCTCACTCTACTCCTCAGCTCCAGCATGGGGATTCCTCACTACCTACTGTGTGCTCGCAGCCTTGCCAGAGAGCCCGTGACCCCACAGTTACTTCGCACTCTACCAAGCAAAGCCTTCACCTGAAAAGACACCTTAGAATGCCCTGGGCTTTCAGGGGGGGGAAAGGCTGATCAAGCCAAAACCAGGCTGCCTAATCCAGGTAATGCAGTCACAAAATCATCCCACCCCCTCTGAGCATTACTGCAGCAAGTGTCAGTCAGGTGGGGAGGGAAGGACACAGGAAAGAAGCAGAAAGTCACCACATCTCCCCAAAAGCAGAACCCAGGGTGTTCAGTAACAGTGCTGCTGGCAGCTGCTGCAGAGAGAGCCCAGGAGCTCTCTCCCCTCCTGCTCCCAGCCTGGGCTGCAGCGGGACACTCACAGAGGGGTGCTGTCCCATTTATCACGGACGTTGATCTCCACATCTCGCTGTTCGAGGAGGTATCTGGAAGTAAAGGGAGAGCAGAGTTACCAAGCAGCTACTCAGTCACATCTCTTTCAAAAGCTGTAAAGTTGGGGCTGCTCAGCCTGGAGAAGAGAAGACTGCGTGGAGACCTCAGGGCAGCCTTCCAGTATCTGAAGGGGGCTTAGAAGGATGCTGGGGAGGGACTCTTCATTAGGGACTGTAGTGATAGGACAAGGGGTAATGGGTTAAAACTTAAACAGGGCAAGTTCAGATTGGATATGAGGAAGAAGTTCTTTACTGTAAGGGTGGTGAGGCACTGGAATGGGTTGCCCAGGGAAGTTGTGAATGCTCTATGCCTGTCGGTGTTCAAGGCCAGGTTGGACAGAGCCTTGGGTGACATGGTTTGGTGTGAGGTGTCCCTGCCCATGGCAGTGGGGTTGGAACTGGATGATCTTAAGGTCCTTTCCAACCCTAACTATTCTATGATTCTAACTCTGAGGTTTACAGGAACTCCTGAAGGTATGACAGGATCTCGAGGGGCTGTCAGCTATGGCTGAAGTTAAACCCTCAACCCAAAGAGCAGCACTCTGCAGCTCCCTTCCATCTGAAGTGGTGGGTGTCACGAAAAAGCAGAATCAAACCCACCTCCTGCTGACCCCTCACTGGGCAGCCATCACAAAAGAAGCCTGAGCACTTCAGCAGCACCTTCAGTCTCCAACAACACACGCAGCCAGGATGCTTACAACTCAGTGGCCAAGCCTACAAGGCCAATGCTGGGCTCCTTCTGCCACAAGTAACGCCACTCCAGACTGCTCTTAACTCCTGCCCTTGCCTTGTCCTACATTTAGGCTGCATCAAATGCTGCCAATGCTCCCTCCCAGGCACCTCTAGAAGCCAGCCTGTCCCCCACTACTGCAACACACACCTCTCCTAAGCACGGGTAAAGTCCCTTTTGGCTTCCACAACCCCTCTCAAGTCGTTTGGTTTTCACTCACCCCCACATCGCTCTCTCCCTTCACCCCCTCCATCCTCCGCATCCCAGACTCCACGTCCCTCTGACCACATTCCTCACCCCAAGCAGCTCAGCTCCTCACTCAGACCCGTACTGTCGCCTTGTCCCCCTGCTTTGGCAGTCTCACAAGCACACACCGGGAGCACAGCAAGGGCTCAGCGGGAGCCCAGCTCCTCCGGGATAAAGGATGGGACGCGTCTTTACGGGATAAACGCTCCCTCCCACCCGCCGGTACCTACCGGCACCACAGACCCCGCCGGTTACAGGACAGGGAGCGCCGGGCGCGGCCCCCCGGGCCGGCCGAAGGCCGTAACGCAACACGGCGGGGCCGGGACACCGGTGTCCCGCGGTGAGCTCAGCGGTTAAAGGCAGCGGAAGGACGCCGGGTAACCGGGACCCAGGACACCCCCCTCCCTATCCCTGTCCCCGTCCCGGCCCTGCTCACCGCACGCGGCTCACGTCCCCCTTCTTGCAGCTGGTAAACAGGTCGCTGGTGTCCATGGCCGGGGCAGGCCGCGGGGCGGCGGCGCCGCATTGACGCGGAGGGCGAAGGGAGCCGCGGGACCGGGACCGCACCGGGCAGCGGCGGCGGCAGGGCGGAAGCGGCGGCGGAGGTAAACACGGCGCAGGGGGCAGAGCGGCAACGCGCAGAGACGGGGTAGCGGCGCGACCGACAGCGCCCCCACGCGGCGTGGAGGAGCAACCGCGGTCCAAGGGTAGGACACGGCGTGGCGCTGGGGAAGGGATGAAGGGGGAATCTGCTTTGGAATGAGCATAGGAGATGCTCTGCAACATACCTGAGCGGGGAATGGTCCAGAATGGGGGTGGGAGTGGGTTCTGGAAGACATGGCAGGGACCTGGTGGGGGCACCCACTCCAGGACACACGTGGCACAGGGATGCATGCACACGTAAAGGCTCTGCTCTGGAACGGGGGTTGTGATGAGCCACCCTAGCAGGGAAGAGGGGTCCTGGGCTGGCCCCATGGGGATAGAGCAGACAGCATCCACACCAGGATGTCACCCATGGACATAGGATGTCACCCCACAGGGAAAACAGCTTCCCACAGCCCATGGGTGAACCGAGGGACCTTGGCCAACATTGTGTTAACGGATAGGGCAGACATGAGCTCTTAAGCAAAGCACAGGGCTGGGGCAGTGTTCAGCCACCCAGGAGGTGTGTTTTATTGCAAAGAAAACAAAACCACGACCCTGTCGCTCCCAGGGCCGGACGCAAGTGTTTGTGAGTGTTCCCCGGCAGCAATCCCAAGCAGTGGGCAGGCCCTGCAGATGTCTGGGTCCAGCAGGAATGAGGGTGGTGAGAAGAAGGGCTGGGAGCCTGGTTGTTGGCCGGGATGAGCCCACGAGGCTCCCATGATGAGCACAGATGATGTGGATGTTGTCTCTGACTGTCTGAGTTGCCCCAGACCCTCTGTGAAGGAAAAGTGCTCCTGCGTGGCTGCGGAGACTGGCTGGAGCGGGTGAGCTGCTGCTGCTGGCAGTGGCTGCAGTGGGGTCCTGCTGCAATGCTCTACGGTCATACTGCAATAATCCACATGATAACATACCCGTTTCACCCTGAACCCTTTGTCTGGAGGGATCCTTACGGTGTTCTGCAGGATGCAAAGCCCCAGCACATGATGGACTCCACATTACAGGCGCTGTTCTAGACATGTGGGCAACAACATCCCATCTCCTTGCTCTGCATACGGGGATATCCTCACATAAACCATCACGCAGGAGCCTGGTGCAAGCCCCTCATCAATAAAGCAGGCAACAGGCCTGGGCAAACCACAGGAATCAAATACCGAAAGAGAAAGAAAAAGTCCTTTTTGTCCATCTTCTTTTCCGTCTCCACCTCCCAGCAGCCACCAGGTGTCAGTGCGATCTAACGTCTGGCCGATGGGACCACACGGTGATGTCCAAGAAGGAACACGGCTCTTCAGGGCTGGCTTTGCCGGGCACACCACTCCAAGTCCAGCTTTGACAGTTTTTGTTAAAAAGAAGTGTAACTACATGAAGGTGATAGAAAAGCTTCCCGTTACAAACGCTGAGACAAAGTTTCTCTTTAAATCCTCCCTGCGCAGAGCTGGAAACCCAAGCGCTGAACAACAAGAGGGAGCGGGCTCCACAGTGCTCCCCAGCCCGCAGGTCCTGGATGACCCGTCTCTGCAGGGCTGGGGGAGAGGGACAACAGTGCAATCGACTTAACAAGATCTGCCTAGTGCAAAAACACGGTACAGAGGAAGAAGGTAGGAAAAGTATCACCAGACTAAAGTGAAATGCTATTAACCAGGGATGTCCAGGGCTAAATGGAGATCATACAGCCGGGTGCACTCTGTCAGAGACAGCAGAAAGGTGTTTGCAGCCTCGTGACAGCCACCCTTGGACACTCTCAAGATCACCTGGATGCTCTGGACACAGAAGAGAGCTCCACAGTCTGCAAAACTTGAGGCCATAAGAAGCTGGAAGAGCAAATGAGGAGAATCTGGTAGTTTATGAATAAACCCACAAAGCCCCCTTGGTTTCTTTAAAGTTTGAGCACTTTACACCAGATCAGGAGGTGCTAAGCCCAGCACTGCTTTATCAGCACCTTGCTGTCTCTCTGATTAGTAAAGTGGAGAGAAAACAGGGCAGCAAAGCAGCTCCTGGTGATAATGGGCACCAAAGAAGTGTTTTGTGGGTGAACTGATTCACATCTATCAGTGGCATTATTATTTTAATAGCCACTGAGCATTAAAAACATCTTTAATGAGGATTATTTGACTTAGAAACACTGAGATGGTGACAGTGCCTAAGGGCCTCATTATGTTAAGTGCTATACAAACTCAAACCTTAACTCCATGCTTTAATGAACTCCTTGTACTGTAACAACAACTCGCATTTAATCCTGTGAGCCCCGAAGTGCCATCAACACAGCCACTGAACCTGGGCAGCTCCACTGCACAGATCCATCCTGCTCAGCAGGAGCCACCAGGGTGGTCAGAGAAGGGCCACTGGGTGGATGTCCATATCCATGGACTGTCCCCCTTTATCAGCTGATGGGGGGGAAAAGGAACTCCTCTGAGCATCGCTGCAACTAACAAGATCCAAAAGGAGCTGATGATCACCGTCTCCTACGTAACACAGGGAAAGGTGTGGAGGTGGGATAAAACCACTGGAAACTGGAATCTGGATAGGAAACCGGAATCTGGATAGGAAACCAAAGGCTATTGTCACTTTTCATGAATCCCTAAGAGACTGATAGCAAAGTGGTCCTCCATCGAGGTGATCTGTGATTCAGTCTGCATGCAAAGCGCTATGCAGAATGAACCAGCAGACTGTGTACCTTGACTTGAGGCACCCACACCAGGGGTGAACATGCTAAAAAGATCTGTACATACAGGGATAGATTTACAGGCTCGGCATCAGGCTGCACATCTGGGGTCTTTCTGTACAAAGGCTCCCTTAAAGACCAAAGGCAAAGCTGCACCTTGCAGTAAGCAAGTACACACATCACCTAACAGAGGAATACTGCTGCATCTGACCAAAGCAAGCCCCTCAGTCCCTCAATGACAAGAGAAACGTTCTGGGATCTCGGGCTCCACTGTAGTTCTGAGTTTAGGCAGGGCTCAGAGAACAATTATGCATTCACGTGCCTTTTATTACACATCTTCAGGGAGGAGCTGGAGCCTCAAAGTTGCCTGAGGCATTCCTGAGCAATTGGTTCATTGGGGACCTCTTAGATCTCATCTCATCCGAACTGGCTTTTTGGCTTGCTTAAATGCAGTGGTTTGAAAGATGCTACCCCGATTTACACAGGTGGGACAATAAACACCCCCACCCACCCAGGGCAGGATGCTGAGGAGGAAACAAAAGGACCAGAAAATTAGCTGTGTCTGACTTCTTACTTCTCTCCCTTTGAAAAGCCCCAATATTCTGCATGTACCTCAAAAAGACCCACTGAAACCAAACTACCCTGGAAAACAGGGGTGGACTCTAAAACTGAGACACACAGGGATACTTTGCTGCTCATTTCACAGGCTATTGCATGAAAGAGGCATTTAAATGACCTTTCCCAGCAACTCTCTGACCTAAAGCAGATTTCCAGCTAAGATGCTGCTCCATGGCACTGAATTCTCTGCAATCAGTCAAAGCAAGGGTAAAGTGCTCAAACTCTGCACACTCAGCCTGCAGCTGGGGAGCTGGAACGGGGCTGTCTGTGGTGTGGGGGGGAAATGAGATAACAGAAGGATGTTTTCCCCAGTATCAAGAGCTCACCTCACCAGCAGCTGAGCGCTAGAGCACTACAAAACCTCTTTTCACCTGTGGAAGGCAACCTCTGACCAGGACCTCACTGAGTCTTGGCTCCCCTCCACCTGGAATGCAGAGGTTTTACTGCACCTGCAGGGACTGAGCGTGATCTCAAGGTCAGGATCTGGCTGCCAGAACTCCAGCTGCACTCCCAAAGGGAATTTACTCTCAGAGCTGGACTCTTGCTGGCAGATTCAGCCGCTCCACCTTGCTTCTCAAGCCCAGCCACTCTCAGCCACTACCAGAGAGCTACAGTAAGTGCATTTAAAGGCGATGAAAGCATTGGTGCTACTGATAGGAACACACACACAGAGACCTACAAACCCACCCCTCCCGCTTCCCTCTGGTCAGGGATCCTCCTGGCTCCAAGCCTCAGATGCAGGCTCAGGACTTCCACTGGGAAAACTTCCACAAAGACTTGACCTCTTCCAAGCCTTTAAGAAGTTCCTGAGAAGCCACCTGATCCCGTGGTCCATCAGTTAAGATAGGAGAGAGACAAGTGTATGTGAGCGGGTGGTTCCCTCCCTTCCTGTTCTAGAGATGCGTGTCTTCCTCAAACACATCCACGTCCTCGCTCGCCTGCTTGTTGATGAGCACATCCCAGCTCTCTGGCCCATTGATGGTGTTCCCACCGTTCACGCTTGGCTTCTTCTCCTGCATCTCCGACTGGCTGTCACTGGCCACGTCCAAGGTGGGGTTGTCATGGCAGCCGTTCTCCACGAAGCGCAGCTCCTCGCCGTGTGACTGTGAGGAACACAAATGGAGACAAAGGGGGACAGGTCTTAATGCTGCTGAGGAGCACAATCACAACAGGCTCTGAGGGCCACCAGGGACCCTGCAGGGTCAGTGCAAAAAGGAACATTTACCCCTAGCCCAGCCCTCGCAGTGGCAAAGAGCACAGCTTTGAATCTCTTGCACTTGAATGGGCTTCCTTGCTGCTCCAGCAGTGTATCCAGCTAAGTGGACAGGGGAAATCCACCTCCCTCAACTTCCCAATCCCCTCCATCCCAAGAGCTAAGAGTTTAGCCACCTTCTCTGCTCATCCAGTGCTCACCATGTTCTTCATCTTGGGCAGGCGTCGCTGCCAGCAGTTGTATATGAGCCCCAATACAATGATGATGGCACAGATGGAGCCGATGATCACCAGGACCACAAAGAGCTTCCCATAATCACTGCGTGTCTGGTTGGGGTGCGACTGGCAGCTCGTGGTGGTTGAGTAGTTCTGGATGCCGATCTGGAAGGAAGGAAGGAAGGAAGGAAGGGATACAGTAAATCCCATGGGATCCTGTTCAGACTTTCCAGGGTCCAAGTACAGGACCACCACTGCGAGCAGAAGAACTAAAAGCCAGCACTGGGGAGTCAGGATGTACACTGGCTTCCGTGACTAGAAGGCACATAACTAAATAGAACACCATCTTCTGAAAGCTGGCACATCAGCAGATGACAGTAGGCATCATCTTACCTTGACCACCTACACAAGGATCACACCTATGTGCAAGACAAGGAGGCCTGCATAGGGGCACAGTGGCAAATCACACCTTGCACCAACACAAATCCTTCCTGGACACTTCCAGCTGATGATACTTTGGTTACCCAGTTTCTACCAGGTTGGCTTTTTGCACCTTCTCTGGTGTAAGCCAAGCAATACACACCAAGCACTTCATTTACTTTGCCTAACTGCTCCAGTTTGATAGGTCAGGTGAAAACCTGGGAGCAGACAGCCAGCAAGGGGCTAAAACCAGCAAAATTACTCCAACAGGGTAACAAATCCAAGCAGAATAAAACCCTTGGTGCCTACATGTCCCTAAGAGCCAAAGTCGAGATCATGGGGCTAATTTGACCTCATCTCCATCCTCTTCCAAGCCGCCCAGCGTTAGAAGGGAATACATGAGGGCTAGAGGCAGCTGGCAGAGGAGCCTGGCATCCCTCACCTCTGCTCCTCTGCCTGCCCTTGTGTAGACTGTTGTCTAAAGGAGTGAAATGCAGACCCTGGCACTGCAGAAGAAAGTGTGTGAACATGTCTCATCTAGTGCAGGCACCTCTCCCACCTCTTTAGCAAAGCCTGAGAGCAGCCAGTGCATGTAAATCAGCTGTAGGGTGAGCAGGGCCCAATCTGGGGCTCTGCAGCACCCACATTGCCACTGGCAATAGCGTAGAAGGGATGAGACAAAGTATCCCAACAAAACGAATGTGTGAAAAGCAGCTTCACAGCCAAGCCAGAAAAGCAAGGAGGGAATAACCCATAGTTACTCTCTTAATGGGAGCAGACATTTGATGGCCTGGCAGCTACCAGAGAGTGGAGAAGAGAGTTTGCCAAGTGTCTGACTCATCTGTTTGCCTGCACTCGGTTAGGCTGAGATATGCTCCCAGCTTTCAAGTTGCTTATTTTAATTGTATAGCTAGTCTTAACAAATGGAGGCAGGCAGACAGGCTCTTACCTCTGCTAAGCTCCTCTTAACATCCCCCAGTGCCATGAGAACATCTTTTGTAGGGATGACACCTGTGAAGAAGGAGAGGAAGAGATCAGCGCTGCTCAGCTCAGTGCAGCTCAGATGCACCCATCAGTCTGAAATCCCCAGCAGGATGGAGGTCTTGCAGGCTCCTTCTTGCAGCACTTACCCTGCTCCCCTGCCAGTGTCATCAGCAAGTGCTTGTCGTTCTCGTTGGGTTTGCTCAGAGAGATGAGCCAGCGGTCCTGCAGTCCATCCGCTTGCCTGGAGAAGGCATCCTCCACCAGCGCCAGCAGCTGGGGACCCTTCTCCAGCCGAAACTCCTCCTGCCGCAGGAAAGGCACCTTGGTGACCACATGGTGGGGATGGGGCAGAAGCAGCACCACAGGGCTGGCACAACTGTATGGTCAAAAGCAATGCTAAACCTGGTCCAGCGCTTCCTTGCTCATCCCACGCTGGACCCACACACATCTCCTGATGCATCAGCCCTTCTCCTCAGCTCCTGTGGTCTCCATACACCCTACAGAGTGCCAAGCCCAGGTCCCCTGGCTCACTGGGGTGCTGAGGTGCTGTTATGGTAAGAAGGATGCAGCGGGTGCCGCTCAGCCCCACAACATGCTCGAGCCACCCCTTGACTGCTCCTTTGCTGCTTTCCCACTCCTGGGTTTCTATTCCTGTCTCTGGTTGCCGTGGCAACATGAGGGCCACGCAGCTGATTAATAAAATGGAGAGCTCCTGTTGCCATGGCGATCCGAAGCGCTCAGGGCAGGCACAGGCCTGTGCCCAAAATGGCCTAATTGGAAGAGACACCAGTGACTGGGGCCTGAATCACAGTGCCCTCACCTCACCGGGTTGTGGTTTGGGCATGGGAAGCAAGAGGATGCAGCACCGGGCTGCCAGGTCCTGGCTCTGCTCTGGGTGATGCAGAGGAGGGGGAGCAGCTCAGCCCAAGAGCCCAAGGACAGAAGTGAGACGTGATGGGCAAAGCTGAGGTTGCAGAGCACTGATAAATTGTCCATGGTGGAGGAACGGGAGCTCAAAGGACACTGAATGCACATAAGCCAATGTGGAGGTCACCTCCCAGTGCGCAGCCAGGCACCACTGCTGGGTCAGATCCTGCAGTCCTCACCTGGGCAAAATGCCCAGGGATATGGAATGGGAGATGTGCCCAGAGAGAGACTGAAGTGACTCCCTTGCCCAGAGCCCATTAGGAAGATAAATGGGCTGCCAGCTTAACCCAGTGATACAGACATCATCCCTGCAGGAGGCAAGAGCCTGGCACTATGAAGAGTGTTAAAGCCCAAGGTGCAACTCTCTGGAAGGGGCTAAGCATCGTCCCGGTCCCTCTGCTTTTCAGTGGGACTCGGTATTGCACCAGATCATCATCAAAACATAGGAAACATGAAACAGAGAAATGTTCCTCTGATGGCTCAGAGGAATAGTGACTACCTATTCCTGTATGATCCATGGCATCAGAACAGGAAATGTGAGGAATCCCCTTTCACACTAATTTGAACTATAGCACCCGCAATGTAGGTTCTCCCTTTGCAACCCTGGAAATCCAACCACCACAGGGCTCAGGTATGGAAACCAGGAAACAGAAAGTACAAGCAGAGGATCGGTGAGTTGCCCAAACTGAGCAAGTTACCATGGGTAGGAAACAAACTGCATCAACACCATTGGAAAGGAGAAGAGCTTGGTTCCAACTTCATGAACGTGGTAATGGGATGCAGGGAACAAAGTGATGTTCATGTTAAATATGTGTGTTAACATGTGTCCCTTTGAATAAAGGGGAGGACAGCACAAATCTTTGGCAGAGAAATCTGTTTTGAAACGTGAAATCAAGTAGAAAACCAGTTCAGCCCTGCCTATCCCTGGCACTGTCTTCTTTTAGCAAGGATTCAATAGTGAAGGCATCATTTGGCTGAGACATCTGCACATCTGCTTGCCAGTTCTGCCCCTCCACTGGTTTAACCAACACAAGGGCAAGGGACCATGGGAAGCAAGGTACCACACATGACAAAATGAACTTGCATTAATTAACCACAGAGGCAGAAGAAAGAGCAATGGGGACTGGGACATAGAGGAAATGGGGCAGCAGGACTCTGGTTTTCAATCCGAGTTGCAATTGTGAACTGTAGCAGAGATATTTAGAACTCTTCAAACTGGTTTGCTTAAGTCAAGAAGAGATTGACTTTTCATCTCCCCTCAAAGCAGTCAGCATCCTGCAGGGTGTACAGGAACTGCCCTGCAGGAACCAAAGCAAAGGAGCTGCAGAAAGCAGGAGCACAGACACACGAGGCCATAGTTCCCCAGTGAAACATTCCAGTCTCAGGCTGTCAGGCTCATAATCATTGCCTAGAATTATGAAGGGCACCTTGACCCCAAGCCCCTCACAACAGGTTTTTGAGTGCCTGATAAAAGGCCCAGCAGAGGTGAACGAGCCCCTTTAAAAGGGACCCACAAGGGGCTCTGAGCTCATGAATTAACCGTGGCTTTATGGGGATGGATGGACAAGCAGTGGATCAGCAGAGCGTGGCTGGTGAACAGACCCAGATAACACACAGATAACAGGGTGGGGAGAAGAGGCACTTAAGGAAGATTTAGTGAAAGCTACTTGACACCAAACCATTCACAGTGCAAATGGGGAGTCCCCATTCCTCTGAGCCATCAGAAGACATTAGTATATCTTGGAAGGAGGGTAAGGAAGAGGAAGAGAGGAGGGAAGAAGAATCGCACTTCAGTCCCGTCGGCAAGAGGTGCAATGTTAAAAGACCTCATGACGATCCAGGTACTGATGGCAGAGACTAGCAGCCACAAGGGAGTCAAAACTCCAGTATGAGACTGACATGTGCTAGACTGAGCAAAATCATCACTCTCCACCCACCCTTTTCCCTTCTGGAGAACAGCAACATTTCTGTCCTCCTCCCCTTCTCTCCACAGCCTCTACAGGGAAGCTGAGATTTCGTGATTTAGAATGTTTTGTAGTGAAAGTAGACAGCAAGAGCTGCGCCTGCCTCCACGTCCCCAAGCCCTATTCCCCCTCTGCCATCGAATGTCTTTGGGCTGACTTACACAGTCGATGTTATCTGACATGTTCAGGATGATGTAGTTCTTTCCCGCAAGGTTGCTCCAGTCTTTGCAGATCACCTGGAGAGACAAGACAAAGAGCTGGGTTTGGGTAGAGAATGCAGCTCTCCTGCTGAAACAAGGGACAGGGCCAAGGGGCTGTGATGTACCCCCTAGAAGCACTTCTCAAAGGGTGTAACTCTGTACTGAGGAGGAATCACCATTTCAGTGCTAGCACACAGGGCAAGACAAGGTTACTATGCCAGCTTGCCACAGCCCACTTTCCTTCCACCTCTAGACTGGAGGAGGACTCACTCAGTAGAAAGCTGTCCAGCCTGCAGCCTGATTCCATATGTGATCAGCACTGAACACAAAAGCTTCTCTAGTCCTTAAACTGAGGAGAGAGGGCAGCACTCTGCAAGCAGGACAGGATGCACAGAAGGACTAAGTCACCTGCTCATGCTACTTGGGTACTGAGGGGCAGAAAGCAGTATTAAAAGCATTCCCTGGTACTTTCTCAGAGCCAGCTCCTGCTGCGTGTCCATCCTCAACCAGCTGCCAGGTTGCTGTATCCAGGCACTGCAGCTCACCTCACACCTCCTCTCCCCCAGGCTCTCCTAGCCCAGCATCCTCACAGATTGCTGTACCCTGCTCTGCAGCTGGTCCCTGCAGGCAGCACCAGCAAAAATAGCACTCCCTTCTCACTCCCTTTCCAGAAATCCTTAGGGCCATTTTTGTCCTGACACTTCCAATAATGCAGGCTGAGGAAACAAGGAGCTTTCACTGCTGTGCATGCCCCAGAGGGCAGGTGTTTATTAGAAGCAGGATTCTGTGCAGCAGTTTGCTTGGGAGGAGCAGGAGGATGGATACCCAAAACTGTGGAAAATTCACCCCAAAACCCAGTTTTGGTGGGGTGAACAGAAGCAGCTACATCCACCAGCCAGACTTAGGGATGTGGGTATGGTTTAAGGGGTTAAACACCCCCCAAAAAGGGACACTCCCAACTATCCTCACTAAACCTCGCACCCACTCCCTGCTCCTAGTGTTACCTGTGCTGAGTCCCAGGGCAGCTCTGTGGGCAGCATGGCCATGCGGGAGTCCCCAGCCTGTGGTGCCAAGCTCCTCTCTGCTGCTGCAGTCTCAGTGGCTGGCTCAGTGTCATTCCAAATGGGATCCAGCACAGCCTCATCAGCCCTGTCCCATGGAGATGCAGATGAAGTGTGGTGCTGCTCACTCCCAGGTAAAGTCTGGGTGTGCGGGGAGCTGCCTGCAGGAGAGGGTGTCCCCACAAGTGTTTCCACTGTCTGCTCCGTTTCAGTTAGCACCGTGGGCTCCAGCAGCTCCCACCCCACTGTGTACTCTGAGACCTCCTCTCTCGATGAAAGCTCTTCCCCGTCATCCTCCACTGTGGCCTCTGCAAGCTCTGCTCCTGTGGTAGTCACAGTCAGCTCCGAGTCTGCTCCTCCAACAGCCCACGTGTCCCCAGCTGTCACCTCAAAGGACTCTTCTGAATCACTGGGAGACCCTGCAGCAACAGTAGGTGAAAACACAGAGGACACAGGCAGAAGACCTGGTCCCATGCTGCTGCCCAGGTCTAAGCCTGCGGAAACAGAATCCTCCTCTTGCTCTCCTGGGGCTGCCTCAGTCACAATTCCTGGCCTGGCAGAGACTGTGGAAAAGAGAATGGAGAAGGAGTCCTCTTGGCCCATGGGTTCAGCAGATGTAACCTCTGGCCCAGAGGTCTGGAAGCTCTCCACTCCTCCTCTGGGGTGCTCTATGGGGAGCAGCCCCTCTTCCTCCTCCAGGGTGCTGGAGAAAGGCGTACGCGAGTCGGGATCAACAAGCTCTGCCGATGGCTGCACAGTGGCTGGTGCCCAGCTGTCCTTCACCCGTGTCCTGTTCCCTTTCTGCCCGGCCTTCTGAGATGCAGCAGGGAAGTTGTAATCTAAAATGAGACCCAAAGGACTTCATGTCACATCCCAAGTAACCATGAACCCAGAAAGGCAGAGAGCTGGCCCCATTGTATGTGTCCAGCCACAGATGGGGTTCAATGGCAGTGACCCTCTAAGAGCAGGTAGCTTGCCACAAAAAAGAACAATCCCATCTGACAAGTGCAGCACAACGTCCTGCACATCCCAGTGAACCCACTCTCCCTAGGGATAACCCACCTGTTCATTCTCTCCACTCCTTTTTGTCCTCAGGCATTTTCAGAGACAATAATAAATAACAGCTTTGATATGTGGCATGTGTAAGGTGAGGTTTTGAGTGTCAGAAGTCAGGCTGGGACCCAGAGACTCATTGCAGGTGGGATTCAGAAAGCTATGGGGTGGTAGCAGGAGTCAGCCACTAGCTAAAGGGGAAACACTAAGGAAGAGAAACAAAAGCACAGCAAACCCAATCCTCCTCCCTGGCCCCAGAACCTGCATCACCCTGGGCATCTTTGAAACGCCACAAACCCCTCCCAGCCACACACAAGAGAGCATCCATGCCATGATGCTCAGAGGGGGACAGCTCGGAACCTGTCCCAGCATCTCCAGTCTAGCAGGGACGGCCCAGATGAGCACAGTGGGCAGCTTCAGTCACCCCATCCCCTTGGGAGGCTGGCTCACCCATCTGAAATTCCACACCTCCACCTCACCTCTCTGCCGTCACAGCCTTAGCTCACCCCTCAGTGCTTCCCACCAGCAGCGATATTGCTCATATTGCAGCATCCAAGTGGCTTTGCCTCCCCCAGTCCCCCTCCCCAGCTTTTCCCTTCCAACCTCTCTTACAAAGACCCTCAGGCTCTTCTCTAAAGGAAGCATCTTGCACAGCCCTCCACGTCCTGCCCTTTGCATCTCTCGCAGGCCCAGGGCTGGGTCACACAAATGCATTCCCTTTGTCTGAGGAGATGATTTGCCCTGGGAGAGGTGAACACGAGCTCCAAACCTCTGCAGGGGCAGGCCATGTCCTGCTTCCCCCAGAATCAATACAGAACTTCCCCGATATCAGATGGGCCGAGCCTTGGCTCTGCACCAGAGCAGATTCCCAGCCAGCTGTTAATTCAGTCCATTTCTGCTGCTCCTCCATTCAGAAAACCTGCTCTCAGCTGCTGCCCTGCAAGGTTCCCTCTATTTGCACTACTGGCAACTGGGACAGCGCAGAAAAAGGGTGATCCTCCCTGGTTTTAGTCCACACAACCTGACCATAAGGTCTTGATTGGATTAAACTGGAAGATCATGTTATCCAGTGATTGAATTACTGATAACCACAAGGCACTGTAATAAAGACATGAACACTCCTGGGCTCCCCCCCCCCCCAGCTCAATAGCACCATTCTTCCTGAAGCACATGCTAACCTGGGGAAGTGCGAGGTGCACTGTAACACAGCCAGCTCTGAGGCAGGCTCTGCTCACTGTTTTGCAGTATAGAGCAGGGAGGCTTACTACAAAGAGATGTATTCCACTGGATTTACTCTGCGGGGGGATTTCAAAGAGGCAAAATGCAATTACTGGTGCTGGAATTGAGCCGGTCTGGGCTAACAGCCTCATCTTCCAGAACTAGGAGAAGGTAGTATCGGTGACTCCAAGACAGATCCACACACAAGAGGGATTATAGTTAAAAGAGAGACCCCATGGTAGCAAAGTGGTTAGGTCTTATCACGCTTGGAATTGGCTCCAGGTAGAGACCAGGCACCCAAACAGAGCCAGGTAGGGCTGGCTGCGACAGAATAAGACAGAGAAACCCTTTTTCACAGGTCAGCCTCTGCCAGCATCATCTTGGTTGAGGTGGCTCGCCCCAGGATTGATCACTTGAGGTGTGAGTGTGCACTAAACCAAGGCACAAACAAGAGGCATCCAGGAGCTGAGCTGGGGCAGGCGGCTGCTCAGCACTAAGCTCCTTATGCAGACAGCCTTTACCAGGTGCTTCATTTCATTAGTGCTCGGGCTGAAGATGCTATTAAGAACACCAGATTTGCTGTCAGTCTGGATAAAGAGGCAGCCGATTTCAGTAAGGGTGAGAGATGCTGGGATGGCTCTGGCCAGAAGCAAGTATTTCCTCACAGAAAGAAGGGAACCTCACTATATTAGTTAGGGATGGAAGAGATTTTATCCCTTTAGCTGGTCAGAAAACTTTGAATGCCATCCTTCTAACTTGTCTGACCTGCAACCCCTCAGCCATGCTCTGCTGGGAACCCCTTCTGCTAATTACTATGAATAATTAAAAGATTACAATTCCACCCCCCCAAATCACCACATGCCATCCCAGTGAATCACCAATCTGTGATACCAGATTTGATAGCTCCAGCACAGACAAGCCTTGGTCTTCAAGGACAGAGCCTTGGAGCTAGAGGAGCAGACCCTGGCTGTAACAAACTGAGCTCTGTGCCAGCCCAGCACATGACAAGATGTGATGCTGCACTCCAATCCTTGGAGATTCGGTTTTGGGGCAAGGGAGGAGAGGGACTGAGGGCCTTCATTCACAAGCCTTACATCAGCTTTTGGGAGCCCTCCTTTCCCAGCAGTTAGTGATTAGGATGCCCCAATCTAGAGCCTTCACTGGAAAGGGAACACATGGGGCACTGTGTTCTGAGCCACAGGCAAACACAGACAGGGGCAAAACAAGGAGCTCCCCAGGATGGATAAGCCACCATATAATTCTTCCACTAACAATCAGGGCCCTGCAGCCCTCATGGCACCCACCTTCTAGCCCTAAATCTAGAAGAGATGTTGCATCTGTTGCTCAGGAAATCCAGTGTGACAGAAGTGAACACGGGGATTGGAAGCCTCCAGGCAAAACAAGATGGGGAAGGTGGCAAGAAGGGAGATGCGAGTTCCTGCAGGTCCTCTCTGTCTATCAATCTGTGGCTCAGGCCAGTTTGATACCACAGCTGAATCAAAGCAGCCAAACCCAAACAACAGGCTGGGAAGCTCCTGAAGGCAGTGGGATGCAGAAGCAGCAGCTTCACAGCTCCACTGACTTGCCTCTTGGCTGCAGTATGAATCACATGCTGCTTCTTTCCATAAGGATATGCATCCCCATTCCCACCAGAGCTAATCCATCTCTCCCAGATGCAGCCCCACTGGGTAGCAGCTGTGCACGGGTGAGCACACATGCACTTCTGTGCACTCCCAGACAGAGTGAGATCAATCTCAGGCTCCTTCCCAGGCTGGTGTCACTGGTGTCAATCCAGAATGACTGCTCCATAGCATAAACCAGCAGAAGCAGGTTATTCAGAGGGAGCAGAGCCCCAGGCTGAGCTGTGCCCTGCCACTGGGGTTTGTTGTCTCCAACAGCTGGCCCCCGGTGCCACACGAGCTCCTGAAGTATTATTAAAGGATATTTGAGTGCACTTAAAGCCCCAGAGCAGCAGCTGCAGATTGCTATTAGCTGTTACCTCCTGCAGCCCCAGAGTCACACAAAGGCAGAGGGGTCCCCTCACGGACTGCAGAAGGACGTTACAGCAGTAAAATACAAGAAAGGTGACTCAAAGAAAGAGGGGAGACTGAGATGAGCTCTTAGGCAGAAGCTCTTCCCTGTGAGGGTGCTGAGGTGCTGGCACAGGGTGCCCAGAGAAGCTGTGGCTGCCCCATCCCTGGCAGTGTTCAAGGCCAGGTTGGACACAGGGGCTTGGAGCAAGCTGCTCTAGTGGAAGGGGTCCCTGCCCGTGGCAGGGGTTGGAACTGGATGAGCTTTAAGGTCCCTTCCAACACAAACCGTTCCACGATTCTATGAAATCTCAGGAGATCTGGCCTAACGCCACCAATTCCAGGCACCAAACACAGAAAGGAGCCAGCACAGGTCTCTTTTCACAGCAGGGAATTTTCTCTCCAGTACTATCACAATCCTGCTTTGTGCCTTAATTGATACAGGGGCTCAAATCTGTGCCTGGGACAGAGCTACCAACTCTACCAGACTACACTGCTGTCCAGAGAAATTCCACGACAGGAAAACTTACACCATGAGCTTTTCTTTCTTAAACAGCAGCTGCCTGAAACTGTTTAATGGATTTATACATTGAAAATAACCCAACAGATGTCATCACACAGCTCCACCAGGCATCGCATGGAAACTGCCATGCACGCAGCACGTTGTGTGCACCTCTCGTGCAGGAGAAGGCTGTCCAATTGAGGGATGCTATTGCAATATCCTTCATTGTAAAATGACACACAGCAGGTTTCTAATTAAATTTTAAGGAGAAATGTGCTCCCAGCTCTTGAATAATTCAAACTGTTCTATTAAGCATGGCTCTGAAACATCACCGAGACACGAGCTCCAGCCACAGCAATGGCCAGGGGTAAAGGCAGTGCTGGGAAGCCCAGCAGCGGTGAGCTGGGCACTGCATAGGGTATGTGCAGAGGACAGCTGAAAGAGTACATCTGCTCATGGAGGAAAGCACTGCAGGCGAGGACGGAAGCAGAGGGGAGCGTGTTGTGCATGCAGATGGGAGGAGGCACGTGCAAGAGGCGAGGTTGGTTCGGGCTCCTCTCAATGCACAAGCACACGCTGGCCTCCAAGTCACGTCCAGGCCTGAGCACACGCAGGTGCCCGCTGGCACGCAAATAACAGTGCTGCTGAGCACGCTGCCAATGCACCAGAGGGGCTAAACCACAGCACGGCCCAAAGATGCCCTGGTAGGAGCATTGCAGCATCCACCCCAGCACCAGCACAGCTCCCCATGGCCAAGACCGTAAGTGCCCCGAGGCCACATGAGCCACAGGGCAGCAAGAGCACAGCCAGATGAGTTCAGCAGCAGCACTGGTGAGCAAAGGGCTTTGGGATGGCCCCTGCCCTACACAACATGTCTCGTGTCCCAGCTGGCAGCCAGAGGCACAGCCCTCAGCGAGGTCTTCATTAAGGTCACAGAAACAGGAGCAATGATAAACAAGGCTTGTGCTTTCTGACTGTAGACCTCAGTCGGACCCTCTGCAGGGAGGCAGCGATGCCAGGTAAGGGAGGAGTGATAAGGCTGAAGCCTGGCCCCTGGGTAGCACTTAATACGTGCCCCACATGACACTTAAGAGCAGGAGCACTGTGAAATAATCTCCTAAGATACTGGAAACCCTGCAATGCTCCTCCTCCTCTTTCCTCCCATCCCTCCCCCTGAGAGCAATGAGGGGCTTGGGGGGCTCAAGGGTCTCAAGAAACAGCCCACATTGGCAAGCAAGCGCAGATGCTAACACAGCTCATTTTGGCCATGAGTCCCCTCAGGAAGAAAACAGGACAGGGGAGGCAATAGGATAAGGGACAAACCTGCTGTCTGCTCTAAGGTCAAATCCCCACCGAAATCATGGAGTGAGGACAGCAGAGTTTAACCAAGGGAAGCCAGCTCTGACTCAAACCCCAAGATGGCCTTGATCTTGAGACCTTTAGGCTGCGCTTAACTGACAGCAATAGAAAGAAGGGAGTGAGAAGAGAACATAAAAGGGGGAAGGAGAGAAAGAAGGGCACGAGGCAATGGGAAGCTAGGTGGAGGCAGTACTTCTCCCAGCCCATAGGAGCTCAGGAATAAAGGCTCAGCTGTAACTTGGTTTCTAAAGCCTATGCTTGCTCAGGGTTCACTGGGGACACATCAGGCACTGAGGTGAGAAAATAGAGCTGACGTTTAATCTCAGGCCCTCTTAGCGAGAGTTGTGTCAAAGCAGCATGGATCCCTGCATCCTTCCGCCTCCTCGAACCCCACAGCACGGGGAGGAGGAATGGGTTCAAAACAACCTACCTGTTGTGGGTCCTAAATCCAGGCTGGAGTCATTGAGCTCACCACCATCTTCCCAGAAGTACTGCGGGGGCTGTAGGATCTTGGACTCCTCATTCTCCTCACTGGCAAAGCCCGATCCTGGGGCAGCGTGCAGAGAGACAGGGGTAAGATCAGGCTCCACAGGCTCCGGGCTGGCTCGTTCATGGGAATTCATGGCTTCCAGGTGGGGCAGCACGGCAAACTCCAGCAGGGACGTCGACGTGAGGCCATCAGCGGTTGTCTCCTCCGAGGAGGCAAGGCAGAGGTGCAAGGTCCCTGTACAATGAGTAAACCCATATCAGAAACAGGAGTGATACCCACCGTGCTTGTCTTCTGCTCCTGCCAAGCCAAGCTGCTGTGCCCAGCCTGCAGGTACCCTGCCCTGCAGATGGGCTGAGCCCTGAGCCGATGAGGAAAACTGGGGTATTTTGGGAAACATCCACAACCATGAAGAGTGTTCACATCCAAGAGGAGCTGGTGCCAGAAGCCACCCAGCCCGGGGCCCCTCTCTTTAGTGGTACAAAGAAGGTTCACCCTCTCTAAGGCTTTCTGCCTCTTTGGAAGCACCATGGGGTTGTTCAACACCATCCTGGAGAAGAGGTGGAATGTCTGCTCCTTAAACCAGGAAATCCTGGCACTGTGAAGTCAATGACAGTTTCCTACTTGACTGCCACCCAGGCATGACTTCACCCTGGTGCTCCTGACCCGCAGCTGTATTATATGCAGGGGGACTGATGTAAAACAGAATTACATCACCAATATCAATCATGCTTCAAACCAGCAGGCTGGAAATCTATTAAAGTCATTGAGTTCAACTGCATTTTGCATTCACAGTTTTTGCTACCATAAGGAAGGGCTGTCACAGGTAAGGAGTCAGATGCCAGCAGCAACCAGCGACCGAACACTGAGCAGGCAGGCAGGCTGCATTTCACACTCCTCCTGCACCAATTACAGCCTTGTTATCTCCATTTGATCTATTAGAAGGTTTGACTGACACCTCCCGAGTCCTAGATGAGACTTTAACTGTGATTTGTGTCAAGGTACATTCACATGCATATTGAACTTCAATCAAAAAGCAAGAGAACAGCACCTGGAACTTGGCTTTCTTCAACCCATAAATACCATGACAAATACAGAGACAGAAGGGAAAAAATGAGATTACCAAAACACGCTTTCCATTTAAAACAGTTCTGTTAAGCAAGCAAAGTATCTCATGTGGGTGAACTGAACCAATTGCTTCCCAGCCCTCTGTTCTTCAGCACATGAAAGCTCAAAGATCTCATCCTCTCTCAGCTGATTTTTATTCATAGATCAGAAGGAAAGGACAAGTTTTCCTGCTTCCTCAGCTCATCCTGTGCTTCCCAGCTCTTAATGAACTAGTCACTGAACTGAACTAATTGAACAAGCTGAAATGAAGGCTAATTTGGTATTTTTCTTTGAGAACTCATTTGCTAGACAAGAGAAACGCAGCAGATCTAATCCAGCTGTTCTTCAGTACAAAGTACAGTGCCTCGTATACAACTCCAGGAGAGGCAGGAACAGGCACCAGTGAGCAGGAAAACTGAGACAACAAACAGTAGGGCACTGGCTATATGAAAACATGAGAGGCTTGTGCTGAAGGGAGGCCATTAGTGGAATTCCTCAAGGTCTCTCCTTGGAGCTGCTGGTCTTTAATACTTCCCTAAGTGTCCTTGGAACAACAACTGAGAACATCACAATGAAATCAGCCAAGGACACAAAGCAAGGAGACTCCTCCCTGCACAGGAGGACCATAGGACGAGCTAACGATGATCCCAAGGATGGCAGTAACACAAATAGTCTGAAAAGAAATAGAAGTCACCACCTCAAAAGCAGCACCAAACATCCCAAAAACATCCATTAGAAATGCCTTAAGAGGAGAAATTCCCCCATGAGGAACATCACTGCGGCATCACTGGAATGCAGGTGTGGAACTGCTTGCACAGTCCCCAAGTATTAGAAATAGATTTGCCAAAGCACTGCTGAGACATCACTTGGACGCTGCATGCAGATCTGGAGCCACGTGGCCTGAAGTGATTTAAGCAGAGCTGAACTGCCTCCAGGCAAGGGCACAGGCCAGGCGACCTCCTGGGGTTCCCCCCATCACTGCATCCCACAGCTCCACATCCCAGAAGGATCAATCCAGATGAGGGCAAGTGCCAAGATGAGCTATAGGGCAGCAGCAGAGGGGCTGGCCCTGGTGCGTTCATCAACAACACTGGCTTGTAGCCCAAAAAGCTTGGGAGTTGCTACTCACTTGATTCCCAAACCTGTCCTGGGAATGCTGGCAGCTGGAAATGCATTTCTCAAGGTTTCTTTTCTGCCTGCTCTGACCCTCTCCACCTTTCTCCACTCTTCTCTCAACTGAGCACAATCCAATATTGGTTACTCTTTCCCATACACTCCTGGGTCAGGCTTCAGCACATCTCCAGCTCATTTATTTTGTTCTATTGATCCAAGGCCAGCACAGCCACAGACAGGGAACGGCAACAGAGGCAGAGTACCGAAGGGGAAGGAAGGTTCTGCAGCATCATGGAGCCAACCAAAGCACCCAGGGATGGAACAGCTCCCTGTGAGCTGTGCACACACGGAGAAAACCACAGCTCAAAATGAGAGGTCAAAATGAGTTTCTTGTGCACAAGCACAGCATGGACAGGGCAGTCCCCACACCGATCCAGTGGTGCTCACCCAGCTCCAACGTGATGGTGCCTACACTGCCACAGCAGACCTCTTCTGGCGTGTGAACCTGGGCACCCAGAGCTCATTCCATCCATGTGGGAAGCTCAGATCCTGGGAGTCTGTTTACCCTCCTTTAACTCTCAAGTGTTTACCCAGTTAAACCCCCTAAGCTGCATTATCTTGTTTACTAGGATGCTCTCCTCAGCCCAAGATAAAGCTACACCACCTCATCCCTAAGAATGAGTCATTAATAGACACAGACTGAGCAAGCTAGGTTTCTCCTAGGGTGGATCTGGAGTAAGACAATGCTTTGGGACCTGACCCACAGGCACAGGATGCTGAGAATGGCCTGGAGAAACCCTCTGTGCCAGCAGCATCAGCCTGAATGCCATAAGGCTAACAGCACCAGTGTACAAATCAGAACCTCCCTGGACAGCATCCTGACACCACGTTTTGCACCAGCAGCAAGAACTCAAAGGCTTGAGGTGCCAAACAGCACACCCAAGGTTTGCCACCGTCCCCCTCTCTTCCAAGCATCTCATAAAGGAGCTCAACGCAGCTGTCAACGGGCAAAGAAAGAATGAAAGCAGGAGCTGAGCTGAGCGGGAGGCAGGGAGCACAGCTGAGAGGGGAAATGTAATGCCCAAGACATGGGTGGCTGGCCCTTTTCCTCCTCGGGTGAGGACCGGGGATTAGTCCCCTTCTACCAGCAATCAGTCTCCCAGTTTTGTATTCCAAAAGGCAGATCAAGCCATAGGAATAAAGCAGCACTAGAATAAAGCCCTGCAAGTGTAGATGGGAGGGAGCAGGGAACGGAGCCAGGGCTTGCCAGCTGCTTCAATGGGGCGTTTGTCTTTCATTTCTATTTTTGCGGCACCTCTGCGTAACCTGGAGGAGATGAGGCTCCGCATGCTAAAGAGGGAGCCAGCCTTGGGGCTGAGCACGGGAGGAAAAGCCTCCCCAGAGCACACACAGCAGGGGGAGAAAGGAGGGAAAGTGGGAGAGGCAGGTGGAGGGAACAAAGGCGGAGAGGGAGCATCCAAACCAGCTCCGGCGTTGGCTGCTAGCCCTCCAGCTGCGCGCACCCACAAAGACGACACGTGGAGCCAACGCTGACCTTGCAGAAGATGCTTCCCTGCTGTAAGGAGCAGAACGAGGTGATTTCCACAGGGAATAACAGCGCAATGTTACCTTCCCAAGGCCACTGGACAAGAGCCAGCCAGGAGCGCGCAGATGAACCGGGTTTGCTAGTGCTGACCCCACGGGCCCCTCAGGACACAGCTCCAAGGCGAAGTGCAGATGCTCACCCTGTCCAGCTCAGTGCAGTTCAGTGCAGTGGTCCCAGATGAGGCAGATGGGGGAGTTTTGCTCAGCAGCATGAAAAGGATGCAGTAGAATTTGAGGGAAGCACATCTGCCAGTGCTCCCCAAGTGCTGCGAACAAGAGCAGCTCCACACTTCCAAACAACGCTAAAAGAACCCCAAGTATGTTCTCCATTAACCAAGAACCACATTATCCCTTTGCCACAAGGCAAGTCACTTCTCCACGGGCTGGGACAGCTGGTGGAAAGCTCCCAACTGGCCCAGGACTGAACAGGACTAGAAATGAAAGAGGAAATAATTTGTTTCTGTATCCAGCTGAAATGAGAGCAGGGACCTGGGGAGACGAGATGGGATCTGGCTGCCACTGTGTCAAACTGCCTTGAAAATTTGCTTGCTTAATTACCAACAAGCAAACCTCAGTTTTCTCTCCAAGGAAAGTCACAAACATCCCTCAAGGTGTCATCACACCGGCTTGACCTACCAGGGGCTGGTGTGCCCTTTGGTCTGCCCAGCTGAAGGATGGTTTTCCCTCTCCTTCCTGGGTGCTGTGGCTACACCACGGTGCCTGTGAAGGGAAGAGCACTCACCTGGAGCACACACTCTGACTCATCCATCTCTCACTAGCAGAGCCTGTACAACAGCACTTAGGTGCAGCCACACTCTGGGTACCAGGGAGGGGGGACAGAGCAGCTCGGTGCTGCCAACTCGGCAGCCACAACAACGTCCATCTGGCCCCGCTACCGCTGACCTCCCTTTCCAGCTGACCCCAAACCCAGAGTTACCCAACAACACTATTTCCTGGGACAGCTGGGTCAGGAATGGGTCATTTACTGATAATCAGTTAGGACAGAAAGACAATGACCAGATGAGGGAAGCATCTGCCAGGGATATTCCATCCCTGGAGGAACCAGGGAGCAGGGCCCAGGGCAGAGCAGAGAGAGGCCTCAGGGCAGAACACTTCATGGAATACAGCAATCCCAGAACATAACAAAATAGAGCAATTTTAATAACAAAAAGCATCCCAACTGCAGGCAGCTGAAGGACTTCCAAGCTGGTTTCCCCACACTCACCTGGAATCTCTGCAGCCCAGACCTCAATAGCTGGCACAGGGAAGCACATGGGATGTCCATGTATCAGACCAAGCCCATGTGGTGCTAATTCAGAGTTGCAGACCATACCTGTGCTGGGATGCTCCACCTAGGAACCACATCCAGCTCCCACACAGCCCTTGATGAGTTTCCCTCTAAGCAATGGGGAAAGCACTTGTGTCTGTGTGGAGCACATACACTTAGCAACCTGCACCAACAAGAGGGACAAGGCACAGCTGGATAAGCCTTTGCAATGGGACAACTCTTTAGAGCGAGACCCTAGAGCACACAGTAGCTGTGCCAGCATCTTTAAGCTCTTACAGATCTTTACAGCTGGAACAGAGAGCTCAAACACCAGGCTACAGGTTCTGCATGCACTGAATGGGCACTACCTTGCACAGCACCACCAGCATTTGCTCCCTTGGCATTTCAGCAGAGGACGTCTATAGCCTGCGGACCCAGGTACATCCATAGGAAATGGCATTTCACTGCAAAAGCAGATAGATGCAGACGTGCCCTTTATCAGCACATGTGCACCAGGAGCCTGACCTCCAGAGGTGCCCAGGGCTGGGAAGAGTCAGGTTCTCCTGTCACTAGGATCAGTATCATCAGGACTGCTCGGAGCTCACCCATCTCCACAGATGAGACTCCACACAAGCAGGTCACAGCACCTCAGCCAAGCCGTTCTTGCCCCTTCTGGGAGTCACAGCCCTGCTGCTTTCAGGCTCCAGACTCTTTGCCTTCTCTCCTTCCCCACATCATCTCAGCCTTCACACCTCCCTCCTGTGCTGCTGCAGCGCCTGCTCCGCTCCTCTCGCTATCAGTGGCAGTTCCAGCTCAGGCGGGGGAAGATGCAGCAGCCTCTGGGGAGACAGCACCGGGGAGACAGCTGCACACAGACAGCACAGTGATCCTGCCTTCCTCAGTCACCGTCCAGAAGCCTCCAAACAGCCCCCAGGGTTAACAGACCACAGGATGAAAGCCACTGATCTAGGAGAGAAACCACAGCCCACAGGTTCCTTTGCCCTCTTGCAAGCCCAAAGCATTCCACAACATCTCTGTGACAAAGCCTGTGCTTCCTCTTCTCACTCTGTCCCAACCTGGACCACACACCCCACAGCACCCAGTCTGACCTCCAGCACACCAGATAAAGGTTGGTGGCTGCTTCATCTTCCAAGCCTCCCTGCCCAGGCAGAGCAAGTACCACTGCAGATGCTGGAAGGACTTCCATTAAGACACAGTCACCCATCAAAACAGAACAGAAGCCTTTTACATCCCAAAAGGCCATTAAAACTCACTGAGCACAAAATGGTTACACTCTGCTCCAGCCCCTGCAGCAGTGGTGATGACCACCCTGTCACACACTGGCATACCATGCTGCAGGCTCACCCCAAGTCTCCAAATCATCTCAATGCACCCTAGGCAAAAAGCTCATGCAAAGGTCTGATAGTCCCCGGGCACACATATGGGTCCTGTCGACCTCCACAACACACCAGGCAGGATAGGGAGAGCTGAGGGTGGTTGCAGGGTCATGCAGAGGGAGGGATGCAGAGCTGGTTCCCAACAGTAGAATGTTATCCCCAGAACAAGACTGTACATCCAAAGCCTAGTAACCAGGGGTGGAAGCAAGCCCTGGCAGAGCACATCTTCCCTGCCAGCATCCCTGGCCTTCTGAAGAACCCAGCACATGTGCTTGCTCTGCCTCTGCGCGGGCTGTGCTCGTGTGGATGACAAACAGCCTCTCTGTGCTGCTGGGATTACGTGTCTCAGCAGCCAGCACGGATGGGAAGCGGATTCACCCACTGCAACCACGATGCCCCTTCCCCACAGCCCCCATCCCTGCAGCAGGGGGATGCAGATGCTCCACTGCTGCTCATCCAGGTATCCACAAAATGCCGGAGCTGCTTCCCACGCTGAGGCAGGGGAAGAAACTTTTGTGTGCAGCTCATCGCCGGCAGCTTCCCCTTGAGGGCTTAATGTAGTTATTTCTACCCCTGATGCCTATAATTAAATGAACATTTCCTTATGGCACTGAAGAGGCCAAGGAAAAACTGACTACAGGGAATTTACATCCATCCTGATTTATACTCCCTCATCACAGGCTCATTCACACAACACTAACAAGGACCTAAGCAGGCAGAAGAGGAAAAAAAGCCTTCAATAGCCCACATGCAGACAAGCACCTGGGGAGACAGCAAGAGGGAAGAGACCAAATCCCTCTGTTCTCCCTCTCTTTTCAACCACATCATTTTCCTACGTGCAAAAGCAAAGAGGCTCAGATACCCAGGAGCCTGGAGAGATGCTCTGCCAGCAGACCTGTGCTACCCAGCAGCCTGATGGGTCCTGATCCCGCTTCAGCCCATCCCACTCCCGATCCTGGGAAGCACCCAGGAATCACACTCAGACCCTCCAGCTCACTCTCAGGTTTTAACTATTCCCATCCTTCAGCACTGGAGCACACTGAATTATTCCAGGCTGGATCAGATCCTAAACCGCTGAGCAGAGCTACTAACATAACAGGGCTTGATGTATACATTCCCAGCAGGCTGCATCTCCGCTTCTGACCTCCTGCACAGGCAGGGATCCAGGTGTCCAGGGATGTGTGGCCAACTGAGTCCAGCCCCCAGAGCTGCCACAAGCCCCAGCATCCCCTGTTCAGCAGGAACTGAGCTGTCCCTCACCTCCACCCCTACAGCTCTCTGTGCCAGGAGAGCAGACAGAGTCACAGGGGAAGCCAAGGACCCAAATCCTCCACATCATCACCAGCTGGGCAGCAGCACTAGAAAGTTTCCAGCAGCCTCAGCAGAACAGGAAAGACACCCTCCCACCAGCACAGCACCGTCAGCCATGGTCCTTTTAAAGCCACCACGAAGTCCATCTCCCTCCTCCACAGAGCAAACGCAGCTTTCAAGTGATGGGGAGAGAGCCAGCCCTTTCGGGTGGGGATACAGCAGCTCCCCCATGCACCTTACCCTGAAGGTGGGGACACGCAACCCCAGCTGAAGGTGGGGACATGGGTCTCTTGCTGAGATGTGGCTAAAGGACCTTTGCCAGTCGTGCCCGAGGTTTTCCCTAATGTGGACAACCTCCCTGGAGGAAGCCACAAAACTGGCTGCCTGCTTGGCTCTGGAAAAGCTCCTTGCTTCTGTGCCATGGAGCACTGGCACAAACCCCAACAGGTTTTCTGATCCATTTTGCTCTTTAAGCCCACTATTGTTCGCAATCCTAAAAAGGCTTTATCCCTTCTCTTTAGGGAGCCCCAGTCAACAGCTCAAGGCACCGTGCACACAGCTCACAGACAGAGCAGCTCCGAGGATGACACATTCCTCTGTGAAGGTTTTTGGGGAGATAGGGGTAATAAGAGATGTGCCGGGGGCTGGATGTCACCGTATCACAGCTCGGTCGTGCTGGAAGCCAGAGGCTGGTTGGGAAAGCAGCCCTCCCCTCACTGCCAGGATGACTCAAGACAAAGACTCCCCCACTCTTTAAATGTCCCCGTTCTCAACTCCTGTTCCACGCTAAGCACAATCCTGGACAAAAAGGATAGGGAGGAAAAAAGCAGCCTCAGCCTCACGGGTCTTTGAGGGGATCCCTTTGTTGGACAATTTCCCCAGACTATTTATAAATAGAAGCAGAGCCTTCACAACCATTCCAAGTACAATTATGCCCGCACTTCCTTGCTTTTCCCTGGCACCCCACCTCGTCTCCCAATTACACGAGGAGGCTCTTGGGGAAACGCGGAGCAATTTGCGGTTCCCCCTTTCCTTTGTGCCAGTTTCGCGGTTGTTCGCAAAATCACCACGACGCCAGACGGAGGCATCAGTGCAAGGGAAGGCGGGTTCGGGGCAGCCCTGGCCAGGGTGATGCCCCTCCTCACCCCGCGGGGACCAGCGCTCTGTGCCCCATCCCCGAAGCAGGAGCCCCGCGGGGTGAAGCCCACCCGCACCCGTCTATACCGGGAGCCTGGGGCTCGGCTGTCACCCCCCGGGGGTCCCGGGGCTGTCACCAGCCATTCCGAAGGGTCCGATGCTCCGTTAGGGTCAGCGTCTGGTACCCACGGAGAGCTCCGGGGTGGGAGATGGGGACCCCGCACGGATCCCGGTACCCGGGGATCACCGGCGGGGTGGGGGGGGATACGATGGGGACCCGCCTCCCGCGGGGTTCCCGGGGAGCAGACACATGGCGGGCCGCGGCTGCCCAGGGATGGGGTCGAGAGAGGGAGACCTGGCCCCCGCGGGTATCCCGGTGCCCAGGGAAGGGACCGACACCCGCTGCCGGCGCCCGGCCCGCCCCAACCCGCAGGGATGGCGGCCACCCCGACCCCAACCCTAGCAGCCCCCACTCACCGGCGGCCAGAAGCAGAAGCAGCAGCAACGCCGGGGCCCGGTACGACGGCTGCATGGCGGCGGCCGCTGCCCTGCCGCGCCGCCTCTTCACGGGGAGCGGGGCCGCCCCGCCGCCCGCCGGGCTCTGCCCCTCGCCGCCGCGCCCGCCCGCCGCCCGGCCCCGCACCGCATCCCGGCGCCGCCTCCTCCCGCCGCCGGTGCCCGCCGCGCCGGGGGCGGGGAAGCAGCGGGGTTGAGGGGGAAGATCTGCGCCTCGCTGCGGCCCAGCCCCGACCCCGACCCCGGTCCCTGTCCCGGTGCCCCCCCCCTCCCGCCGGCACGGGCGTCCCGCGGCGCCCACAACGAGTGCCGGCGGCGCGGCTGCGTGCGCGGCCGGGGGTGATCAGCCCCCGCGGCGGGAACCGGCCACCGCCGAACTCCCCCCCGCCCTCAGCGCCCCCCTCCGCCGGCTGAGGCGGGGGCCGGAGCCGAGCGCCCCGGGGAGGCAGGGCCCGGTGAGGCGGGACAGGGGGGCTCCGGTAGGGAGGGAGCACAGACCCTCAGCACCCATGTTCTGGCCGCCCCTCGGCCCAGAGTGCTGCTGGGTACCCCCCAGCCACTGCCTCGCCTCATGAGAGGCCCAGCATCGATGCTGGAAGGTAATGAGAGACAGAGCCTTGGGTGCCATGGTTTAGTGTGAGGTGTCCCTGCCCATGGCAGGGGGTTGGAACTGGGTGATCTTAAGGTCCTTTCCAACCCAAACCATTCTATGATTCTGTAACCTGGAGAAGCTTCTCCCACAGGACAGCTCCATTTCCCACCCCTGGAAGTCACCCAGTCCACCCACCCTGCTCCAACCTACAGCCAGCTGCCCAGGGCCATGGCTCCCAAGTATCTCCAGTGTTGCAGATGCAACCTCTCTGGGTAACCTGTGCCAGTGTTCAGTCATCCTCATCCTAAAACAGCATCCAGAGGCAACCTCCGGTGTTCCAGTTTGTGCCCATGGCCTCCAGTCCTGTCACTGGGCACCCCTTCAAAGAGCCTGGCTCCATCACCTTTGCACCCTCCAGGTCCCTGCCAAGCTGCTTTCCAGCTGGGTGCCCCCATCAGATGCTGGGCCTGAGAGTGTTCTTCCCCAAATACAGCACCTTAAGCGCGTCATTGAACCCCATGAGGCTCCTGCCAAGGTCCCTCTGGGTGACAGCCCCTCCAGTTCCTCAGCCATTCCTCACTGTTGGGTGTCATCAGCATTAACAAAGGGGTTAACCAGGCCTGGACCCACTATTGACCCCTGGGGTACACCTCTAGTCATTGGCCTCCAACCAGACTTGGTGCCACTGTTCTCTAGGCCCAACCAATTCCCATTCTTTATGGCATATATGGGTAGATAAGCATATTTGGCATGCTTAAATATGGCATACTTGGGCAGATAAGGCTGCAGTACAGGCTCTGTGAATGTGGGGAGCGGTCTCTGGGGTTGCAGTGATTGTTTGGGGAAGAAATCCCCCCCTCATTTTACCCTCCTATAGCAATCATTAAGTTAAGGACATAGGGATGTGTGTTTAGTCTCACCACTTAAATGTTCTTGTTTGGGCTGATTTAGAACCTGAGAGGCTCCTCTGGCTGTTGCTTTTCCAGCTCTTCACCTATTTCTCAGGCCTTATTGACAGGAGGAAGGCCCATATTGACTTGAGAGAAGACATCTGGTCCTCTTGTTGCAGCCTTCCTTATCTTGAGAGTCTGTAGCCTTGTCCGTGACCATGGTTTTATACACAATGAAACACTTGTGTAATTCAGTACCATTGTCACTCCAGCAGGTATCAAGTATGTCCATCCTTGACAGAGGAAGAAGTCCTTAGAGGGAGCAGGAGCTTTCCTGTTGATGTCAAAAGCTTCCATCTTTCAGAGGCTGCATTTACCTTAGTGTCAGGGGTGGGCACTGTCTGCACATCAGTTTGGGCTGGGAGCCTTTCGAGTTGTTTCATCTCAGAGAAGACCCTGGCCATCTTCGTTCACCTTCCCTTACACTGCACAGCCTGCTCACATCCTCCTGTAACTCCTGCACTGGGTGACACAGCTCTTCCAAGAGAGCACACATCCCACAGGACAGAGGGGCACTTCTCCTGTGGCTTGGAGAGCAGCATCTGCTATCGGGAGCAGGGTCTGTGTTGAAACCTCTATGCCCTATAGTAGGGACAGCTCCCCCAACACCATTCTGTGGTGTCACCACTGTATCTGAGACTGTCACAGTGATACCATTCAGCTGCTGCTCCCTTCTTCCTGCCCTTCTGTGCCAACTGCCTGGAAAACAGAATAAAACAAAAGAAATAAAGGATTTCATAGTGCAGCAGTTGTTGGATTCACAGCTCTCAGAGAAGTGCAGCAGCCACCCCGTTCGTGACAGGGGCAGGTAACAGTGATGCTGCACTCATCACCCAGTGCAGCAAGGCAAAGCTGACAGCCTTAAACCAAAGCCCTCGCTTTTGGCTTCTTTTGGACCACATCCTTCCAGGGCTCTGAAAGTCCTTTTTATCCCTGAATCAATGCAGCCCCTGGCCCCCACCAAGCAGGAAATGCAGCAGGAACTGCTGAGCTGCCGCTTACCCCTTAGATGAGATAAAAACCACTTCAGTGCTCTCAGATTCTAGCCCAGGCATGGCATTTAATGAATGCTCTTGTCATTTTTCACTTTGCTGCTGGTAATTTGGCTGTCTTAACATGCAGGTGGCTTACGACAAGTGGGTAACTAAAAGCCTTTCAGATCCCCTGACCCTGCCACATCCAGCTCCCAAGTCTTAGAAACTGAATCCAGTGTCTGAAGCAGACTAATCACATCAAAGAAAGCACAAAACCACCCTCATGTATTACATGGCCTCGAAGCAGAGGGAAGGAAACCACGCGGGCAGGGCAGCGAGCACACTTTCTATGAGGCTCACGGTGCTGCCTGGATTTATTTTGACGTTAGGCATCAATCTCAGACGGAGCAACAAAAGGGAAGGATGAAAGGAGAAGGTACATCTTGGACAAGAAAATTACACTAAATTAGTGGCACCATCGATCAGGCAGGTCAGTGCTGCCAGCAGAGCAGAAAACAGCCAGCAGAGATGGGCAAAACCCATCCTGCTTCAAACCAGCACAAACCTAAATCCAGCACAGCTCTCGTGTCTCCTTTGTACGCTCCCTGGAATAGGGACAGCTGGCTTGGCTCTCTTCTGGGCTATTGACAGCTTTACTGTCAAAGGCGTGTATAGCCAAAAGCTTGTAATTTCTCATTTGATCTCCTCCAGCCTCCCTACCTGGTGTGTACTCTCCAGCGTGGCTCAGAGCCCTGGTAAAAGGGGCTTTACAATTGCACTAAATGCTTTTCGATAGCTGCTTCAAGCCGCACACAATTTCCCTGGGTATTACCATGATCCGTGCTTGCCTCTCCTTCCCCCAAATGGTTCCATTTCACAGCTACTCCCGTTAGGCAGAAGCCGAAAGCAAGCGCGCATTGAGGCTGGCAAAGCTGGCAGTCCTCCTGCCGTCTCCCCCTGCAAGGTACTGTAACTGCCTTTGCTGTCAGGAAACACAGCCAGCTTCGGTTGCCATTTGAGGGTCACATTGTATTCCAAGCCACTTGCAAACAGTCAGTGAGGTGGAGGAATGAGGCAGTAGCTCAGGGAAAGAACTTGGTGCCTAGGACTTGTTAATTGCAAAGAAATTAGCCACAGACCCATCTCAACAGAAACAGAACTGCTTTTGAAGCGCCAAGTAACAGAAAGCAGCGACACATGAAGCTGAAACCTGCTGGTGAGATGCTTTGTTCTCCCAAATGCAGCAAAACTGAATTCACCTACAAAGGGATCCGTTGCCCTTACTCAGCAGAGCAGGAAAGCAAACAATAAGCAAAACAAATCAGCAGTCAGATGCCAAGTTCTTTCGGGAGAGAAAAGACTCAAGGAAGACCTTGTAACACTCCTCCAATACCTAAGCAGGGGGGTTACAGGAAACCTGGAAAGGGGCTTCGGACAAGGGCCTGTAGGGGCAGGCCAAGGGGAATGGCTTCAACCTGCCAGAGGGGAGACTGAGATGAGCTCTTAGGCAGAAGCTCTTCCCTGTGAGGGTGCTGAGGTGCTGGCACAGGGTGCCCAGAGAAGCTGTGGCTGCCCCATCCCTGGCAGTGTTCAAGGCCAGGCTGACACAGGGGCTTGGAGCAAGCTGCTCTAGTGGAAGATGTCCCTGCCCGTGGCAGGGGCTGAAGCTGGATGAGCTTTAAGGTCCCTTCCAACCCAAATCAGACTGGGATGCTGTGATTCTTGCAGCATCAGAAAGTGCAAATGTCACCAGTACCAGGGAAAGGGTTTAACCCTTTCTTCCTTTGCATGCCAACAACCATGACAGGAGGTGACCTGTGCCCCTTCATAGAAACAAAGGGAAAAGCCTGCTCTCAAGCTCTGCCCATTACCTGGATGCTTCTTTGGGATAGAGGACGGGTGACACAGCAGGCTCGTGGCACTGTGCAATTTAACTCCATTGTCCTTGAAGCTGCACAGCCTTTTGGTATCCCCCAGAAGAGGAAAGCTTAAGAATTCCACTGCCTGGCTTGGCTCCTCCTTCCTTAGGCACAAGGAAAGAGTTAATGTCTCCCTTGTTCCAGCAGAAGTAAATTTACTCCAGTCTCCACAAGTTTCATATCAGCTTATTGGCTGACTTGGCCTTTTTAATGCTGGGACACCAAACCATTTTGACTGTACCAAGCAGGGGCGGGTACCTGCTCTATTCTTGCACAGCCCAGGCACGCAGCCATTCTCTGGGCAAAACACACAGCTTCTGCTCTCATCCAAAACCCTGATGGGGAAGATGTATAATAAACACTGCAAGAGGAGGGACCTGGAGCAGTTAATGCCTTCCAGGATATGCTGTAATTAGAAGGGAACAGAACTGGCTCTATTTCAGGCACAGGAGCAAGATCCTCTGTATCACTTTGAGCATCTCCATCTCTCTAAACCAGCTTGCTGCCCTCCAGGGAGGCACACTGCCCACCCAGACACAGGGCTCTTACCTGCCCTGCTAGTTTCCCATCCCTACCGTAAGGTGCAGTGGAAAAGCAAGCACCAGTTGTACTCCTCCAAGCCCCATGTGTCCCTGCTGCCTTCTATCTCTGAAGGTTCCCGTTTCTCTC